ACCTTGTGGGCATAGCGGAGGTGGACCACAAGAGGAAGAGTGACAACCAGCTCATCACTGGTAGGAGCAGCCAGTCCTGCCCTAACCCCCTGCAGCAGCTCCCCCATTCCTCCCTGAAGCTCATGCCTGAGTAGCTCCTGCCCTGATTTTCCTCCCCATCCTTGTTTCTTGTGCCTTGGCCTGTGTTCAACTGTCTGACTGCATTTCTGTCCCAGTGGCATCTCTGGTTTCCCTCTGCTCCCCATGTGGGGACACAGCCCCCCACTGCCTTCTGGGGAGGAGGCTGCCTTCCTCCTAGCCCACACCAATGCTGAGCCATGAAATATTGACAGATGCTTTATGAACCCATTTATCGAGCCTTGCAGGGGTGGTTGTGGGGGTAGCAGGGGGAGTCTCAGGTCACTCCCATTGGACCCCTCCCCAATTAAATTGGTGATCCTGCGATGGGAGGCAGACGGGGGGTGTCCCCTGCCTCTGTAGGATGGAGACACATATGCTGCCTCCCCAGCAGCCTCTGGAGACGTCTACGAAGAGCTGCTGAGCTGGTGCCAGGCCAGCACAGCTGGGTACCGTGGCGTGGCAGTGACCAACTTTACCACCTCCTGGACCAGTGGCTTGGCCCTCTGTGCCCTCATCCACCGCTTCCGCCCTGATCTAGTGTGAGTGTCTGGGACCCCTCAGGACCTCCTCCCCTGCAGAGCCCACCCTGATGGCACCCATGTCTCCCCCCAGGGACTTTGACTCTGTGGACACCCAGGATGCTGTTCGGATCCACCAGATGATGCTGGACATGGCAGAGCAGGAGCTGGGCATCCAGCCTGTCCTCTCCAGCATTGAGATGGCCACCATGACAGAGCCTGATCACCTGGGCCTCATCACCTACCTCAGCCAGTTTTATGAAGCTTTCAAGACCTCACCAGGTGTGAGATTTTGGAGGTATTTGTCCCATCCTGGGCCCCACTGGGGCTGGCTGGCTGCTCCCCTCTTTGTAGAGTGGGTCCCACCAACGTGGCCATGTCCTTCTGTGCAGAGGTAGAGGAGGTCAGCAAGAAACCACTGTCTCCCCACGGCACACGAGGGGCCATCCTCTTCCTCAGCAAGCTGCAGAAGAGCCGGAACCTGACACGCAAACGCACCCAGGTGAGGGACCCCCACCCAGATTCTCCTGACACACCAAAACCCTGTCCCCCTCCCCATCCTAGCCACTCCCTTTGCATTTGCAGGACAGTGCCCAGAAGGATGCTGAGGCCAAGAGGAGCCACAGGGATACTGAGGTGGGTCTGCCCCAGGCACCCCGAGGAGTGCTCTGCAGGGGTGCAGCTTTCCTGGGGGGAGAGTGGGGGGCTGACCCTCCCCCTTGGGTCACTCGTAGCTGGACACAGGACTGGATGGAGACACTCTGGACAGTGCCCATGAGCCGCTGCAAACCACCATGACGGACCCAGGGCAGGTTGGTCCTTGTGTCACCCTGAGATGGGGGGTTCAGCTATGTAGGTGGCACTGGGGAGGACACCAGTGGCTGTCAGGGCTAAGCCAAGGGCTGGGACCAGGGCTATGCGAGCAAACGCCCACGGGTTCCTGGCTCCTCCCTGCTTGTTTCCTGACCCAACTGGTTTTCCAGAGCCAAGACTTGCCGCTCCCTCACTGGTGCCAGCAAATCCAACCTGAGCACCCAGACCCGTCTCTGCAAGAGGGGCAAAACCCCCACTGCACACCTATGGCTGCCAGCAAAGCCGCGGGGCAGGGTGGGTGCCAGGACCCTGGTGCCACCCCAACCTGTCCTCTCCCCCCACAGCCGCCGAGAGAGAGGGCAGGGGAGAACAGCGATGCCTGCTACTTCTGTGGCAGCCATGTCTACATCCTGGAGCGAGCTAGTGCCGAGGGACGTTTCTTCCACCGTGGCTGCTTCCAGTGCCAGCGGTGTGGGGCCACCCTGCGCCTGGGCGACTACGCCTTTAACGAGGAGGATGGTGAGGCGGGTTTTGGGGAGAGGGGATGCTTGGGGCAGGACTTCTCCACCTTGCAGGTCATCATGTGAATTTGCCCCCCAGGTAATTTTTACTGCTCACTTCACTACCCCAATCTACCTGGCATGGACCTATCCCGGCACGAGACCCCAGCACTGCCTGATTTAGGGGTAAGTCACCCTAAATCGCCTAGGTGCTGGAGGAAAGACAGTGTGTGGAGGGGGATGCTTGAGCATGGCCCCCATGCTGCATCACTCCTCTGCTCTGGCTCTGCCCTAGGATGCTGATGCTGCCACTGACCCACCCTTGGATGCTGGGAGCCCATGTGTGTCCCACAAGGAGGGGGCGCCTGGTCCCCTACAGCCCACTCCAGCAGCTCCACAGCAAGGGGAAGAGCCTGGCACAGAGGAGGATGCTGTGGATGCTGGTGATGTGGAGGAGCAGGAGCTGCTGGCACAGCCCGGGGGGGATGCAAGGGAGGAGGAGGGTCCTGGAGCAGAACCCCAGAGGGTGGCAGAGGAGGGTGAGGAGAATGGGGGCAGGAGGAAGATCATCCTTACACCGCTGGAGAAGCTCAGTCTGTCCACCCTGAATCTCACCAGCGAAGCAGAGCCTGATCCTCCACCGAAGCCAGCTCGTCTGTGGCTCCAAGCAGCGCCTGAGGCCCTCCCTGCCCCATGGCAGGGTCAAGACTGCTGGAAGGAGGAGGAGGAGGAGGAACTTGACATGCAGAAAAGTAAGTGGTAGAAGCTGGAGTCTCTGGATGAGCAAAGCTCTCAGTCCCTTCAGGACCCTGCTGTAACCTGCTGTACCCCACATCTTGCTCATGAGGCACCAGCCTGAAAGGGCTCTTCTCTTGGGGCAGCTTTGGAGGAGAGTGACAGCGAGGAAGAGGAGGAGAAGGAGAAAGAGGAGGAAGGCACAGACCTTGGCATCATGGCAGAGTTGGTGAGGATTTTCCCAGAGTGGCAGTGGCCCCACCAGCTAGGTGGTAGCTGGGTCTCTTGCTGGCATCTCCTCTCACAGAGGCATCAGGTCTGGCTCAGCCATGGCTGCCGAGGCAGGAGGTGCCCGGTGCAGGGACTGACCCACCTCTGCCCATGCCACCATCTCTTCATAGTGCCTGAACCTGGGCAAAGAGGATATGTACTCCACCTGTGAGCACACACTGTCCCGCCGGGCCAGGGAAGCCCACATGAAGCGGTTCTGCAAAGCCCAGGTAACCCCCACAGGGGAGAGCTGGGTCCTCAGCCCAGCACCATCCCCTGTCCTCTCCATCTGGCTCCTGGTGGCCTTGTGATGGCAGGTGCCAGCCCACAGACGAGTGCTGCCCTTCCCTCGCAGGCCATCCAGAGACGGCTGGAGGAGATTGAGGTGACATTCCGGGAACTGGAGCAGGAAGGCATCAAACTGGAGAAGTTACTCCGGGATGAGAATGGTAAGACCAAGGTAGATGGAGCACTGTGTCCCCCATGACGGGGGTTTGCACCCCACTCACCATCTCCCTGTCCTGCAGGCAGCCCAGCTGACCAGCAGACACAGTGGACAAACCAGCTGCTGTACTTGGTCCAGAAGAAGAACAGTCTGATGATTGAGGAGTCAGACCTCATGATTGCGTAAGGCTCAGGGGGATGTTCTCTGGTCAGTGTGGGAGCTCAGCTCATCCCAGCCCCTCTCAAACCCAGCACTCAGCACACTCCTTCCCTCCCCACAGGGTGCAGGAACTGAAGCTGGAGGAGCAGCAGTGGCAGCTTGATAAGAAGCTCCGGAGTTATATGAACAGGGAGGGTGAGTGCCAGTACTTGCCATGAGAGGGGGGTCCCTGTGCATGGTGTGGGGAGCAGGCCAGGGTTGTGGCCCACTCAGCCCTACTCTGGCCCCCTGCACCCACAGAAACCCTAAAGACACCCGAGGATTGCAGGGCTGAGCAGGAGACTCTGGCGCAGCTGTTGAAGGTGGTGAATGAGCGCAACCTCCTCATCCACATCCAGGAGGAGAAGCGGCTCAGTGAGCTGCGGGCCTGATCCCCACAGCCCCTGGACCCACCAGATCCTCCCTGGGGGGACAAGCAGTGTGTGTGTGTGTCTCCTGATACAAGCATCACTCTGAGCAGCCTCTGTGATGGTCGTGATGCCTGAGCTGCTTGCAAGCACCAGCAGCTGCCATGGCGAATCCAGCTCCCTGCTTGCCAAAGCCTGTCATGGAAGGGCCAGACCTGCTGGTGGATGCCCACATGGAGAGACACTGAGAAGCACTCAGCTTTGGGGTGCAAAGAGGGTGTTCTCGCATGTGGCTGGATTGCCTTTGCCTTGTGCTTGCTTGAAAATAAGATTTGCAGGGGGCTCCAGGGGTGCCCAGCAGCAAGGAGGTGACCGTAGCCACCACAGGCAGGTCACAGGGGAGATGTCAAATGTGCAGGGGCAGCATCAGGACAGGTCCCTGGAAGCTACCCTGGGACATCCCTTCCGGCTGAGGGCATCCATCCCAGCCTGGACTGTCCATCTCTTCAAGGCTGTACAAGTGGGGGCCAATGACAGATTGGGCTGATCCTGCCACTCTGCATAGCTGCTTTTGCATGCCATGTCCACGCTGTCCCCAGCTGCTGCAGGAAACCAGGATCACAACCCCACCATGAGCCCCTTGGGGCAGGGAAGGGCATTTTGTCCAGATTGTGCCCAGGGCCTTCACTCTGTGATACCAAGGACAAGGGATGCCAGTGGCCATGTCCTCCTTGCCCCTTTCAGGTTTCTCCTGCTTGGCAATGCCACAATGGCCTTTGCACAGACCTCAGACTCCCCTAGAGTCTCCAGGTGTTGCAGGGTGGCCTCTGTGGCTGAACAGATCTTGCAGCAGCCCCAGACATGTTGGGGACGGGGGTCCCAGGGATGGGTTCTTAGCAATACCACCCTGTGTTCAGCCCTTATCCTGCCATTCCCCTCAGTGTCTCCTCCAGCTCTCCCTTGTGTTTGTACCAGCCCTACCATCCTGTTGCAGCCCCCCTCCTTTCTAATAAAGCCCCCCCGACCCGGCACCAAGGGCTAAAATACCACCTTTATTTTCTGTCTGAGTCAAATCTGGTTGTTAGAGCAGTCACCAGCGTTCCACCCCAGGCATGGGGAGCCTGAGTCTTTCAAGCCTCCCAACCAGGCCAGCAGGTCCCTCCAGGTACAAAGGGTGTATTTAAAAAGCAATAAAACCCCACGTCCATCGTTCCCACAAGGGCCAGTGCAACAAATCTACCCCCAATATCTTAATTTCTCTCAGAGGCAAATGTCAAACCTGCACTACTGCACTGGCTGCACTGTTGCCAGAAATCAGCTAAAAAAAGGATCAAAAAGGGACACAGTGGGGCTGGAGGGGTATTGTGGGACACCCACAGCCTCGGTTCAGCCATCACTGGAGGGGTATTGTGGGACACCCACAGCCTCAGTTCAGCCGTCACTGGGACATTCCTGCAGCGTCCGCAGCACCATCCGCATCTGCTCCTCAGTGCTGTGCAGCATCTTCACCTCCATGGTGTGAAACAGGTGGAGACCAGTGGCAAGAAGGAGGATGCCAATGGCAAGGAAGGCCAGCAGGCAGAAGGAGAGCTTGGGGAAGGGCTGCCCGGCGTCCAGCCCTGCCAGCGCACCCAGTGCGGCCACGGCCTGCAGCAGCAGCAGCAGCAGGGCCAGCAAGGCCATCCTGCCCGAGGAGTAGCGCTGCCGCTGTGCTGCCCGCAGCCCCACGGCCACCTCTGTCCGTGCCTCTGTCACCACATCTCCCAGCATTGGCTCTGCGGGGACAAGGGGGCTCAACAGGGTGGGACCCCTCTCTACCACTCCTATACCCCCCCTTTTTCGCATCCCCACACCCTGCCCTGTTCCATGCACCACTTGACAAGCACCACCCCAAAGGATGTCCTACACAAAAGGAAACATCCCCAGAAAACTCCATCCAACTCCATCAGTCCATCCACCAGCCCTCCCAGCACATGGTGGACGCTGGCAGCAGCCCCCCAACTTACCAGCAGTGGTGAGGGTGGCACCCGCAGCCTGTCCCTGCCTCTGGATGTGCAGTGTTGCCATCACAGCTTCATGGTCTGAGAAGGGGACGTCCATGCCCGGAGCTGCCCCTGTGGTGGTCTTCAGCTCTTCACACTTTACCATGAAGCTGGAGATGGCCTGGGTGAGGGTGCAAGGGGGTCACACCAGTTCCTCAGCCTTGCCACTCACAGCTGGTGGCGAAGGGTCCCCTGTTACCTTGTAGAGGATGTAATCGATGCGGATGCCCAGTGGGAAGGGCAGCAGCTCTGATTTGTCAGTGAAGCAGTTGTTGGGGACAAGGGTACAACCATCCTCACAGCCCTGAGACAAGTGCTTTGGTTGGTGGAGGCCTCTTGGTTTGCCCCGGGCCCCCACTCAGCCCTTGCTGCTCACCTCAAAGTGTGTGGCCTCGGCAAAGGCATCCCGCAGCCCCGTCCAGCCACGCAGCAGCCGGATGCCCACATCTTCGGGGTGCATGTTCAGGTCCCCTCCCAGCAGCACCACATCAGCCGCCTTGGAGGTGTGTCTGCAGGGGAAAGGATGGCTAACCTCCCATCCCTGTGCTGCCCTGTGCCAGACTGCAGTGATTGGGACCCACCCAGTGCTTCTCAGCCTTACTCCTGACTGGGACTGGTGCAGCTGGGAGCTCTCTGCAGTGCATACCCAGGGGCAGGGGTGACTGCACATATCCTGGGGACCTGCAATGGGGGACCCTGTGGGGCCCCCCTTGGCTGCTCACCGGATGAACTGTGCCAGCTCCCAGGCCTGCACCAGGCGGTGGGGCAGGTAGGCGTCCTTCTCCCGGCAGTACTCGGCGTGCAGCTGGTGAGAGCAGGGGAGCAAAGAGGCTGACTCTCATGCCAACACCTGCCTTGCTCCCAGGCTCCCTGCAAACCCACCCAACCTCTCTAGACGGTTCACCTAGGGTCTGGCCAACACCTTTATCTCACCCCCCTGAGGACAGCCTGGGATTCTCACCTCACTGCACAGCCAGACTGTGTGACCCTGCCCCCTCTTCCTGAGTAATATTTTATTAAATCGGTGCATAGTCCAGGACAGAGGGCGAAGAGCAGGGGTTAAAGCAAGCGGACAGCAAAGAAGTGGCACGGCCACTCATCCCCCTCCTTCCCATTGTCCCCCCCCATGCTGGGTCCTTCCCTGGGATGCTCACGTGGGTGACATAGATGTTGAAGATGATCCCTGAGATCCTAATGATGACAAGGCCAACGGATTTGCCACAAAACCAGTCCCCATGTTGGAGCTGCCAGAGAGGAAGAAGAGCAGGTTGGGGCCACTGAGGCTCCGTGGGGGTGGACACAATGGCAAATGCCTCCTGCCCCACTTACCATGTAGGGGTACCCATTCAGCGAGTACTGGTAGAGGAGCGTGTCCAGAATGGGGAACCTGGAGAAGACGCAGAGGCCGCTGCCAATCACCCCACTGCAGGAGGAGAAAAGCACAGTGAGGAAGTGCGGTCCCCAAAACCTCTGCCTCCCTCCAGCCCCGAGCCAGGAGGGCTCCATGGATGCCTGAGTCCTAGTGTGCTCCCGTGAGCATCCCACTCTCCAGACATGGGGTCTCCCACAGTGACAGAGGTGACCTACAGCACCTGCACCAGTCTCTACATGTGTCAAACACAGGACATGGCACAGCCCTGCCCACTGCCCCACAGACAGTCCTGGGGGGCTGGCCTTGTCCTTCTCACCTGCGGAAGTAATGAGAGAAGGGGTAACAGCCTCCTAGTTTCACCTTCAAATCACTGTAGTCCCGTTCACTCCACACCTGGAGAACAGTAGGATGGGCTGAGAACAGTCACGCTCACATCCCACGCTGGGAATGGGCACACTTGGCTCAGAAACTGCCCTCACCTCCTGAAGAAGCACCAGATCAAAATCCTCCTGGCGCAGCATGTCCCCGATGAGCCGGATGCGCTCCTGCCGCCGTTTGCTCAGGTAGCGAATGGCCCTGCCAGAGAGGGGTGACAGTCACAGCCTGGCAGGGACAGGGTGATGGGGGCTGTCGGGGCACACTGCCACCCGAAATGGGGGAGAGAGGGCTCCAGTACCAGTATAAGCAGGATGCAGATGGGAAAGGGCTATGCGAGGCCATTTGGACAAGAGGGATAATGCAGGGAGGCTGTCTGGGGACAGCTTCTCCTACCTGCAGATCTGAGGCAGCTCATCCTTGCTTGGGGTGCAAATGGGGGACCTTCCCTGGGGTTAACAGGCACAGAGGGGACTGGAGGCACTACTCAGGCAAGCACCTCATGACCCTCTGGGGCTAGGAGAGTGGTGTGACTCCAAAATGAAGGGGACACAAAGGTAACCCCAAAGTGGGACCCCTCTCCCAGTGTGGTGTCCCCACCCATGCAGCCCGGCACAGCCCTGGTGAACACTGGACTCACCAGCAGTTGAGGTCAAAGACACGAAGGCGCAGGGTGGGATCGCCCTCCATCTCTTGCTGGATTTTGCAGGGGCCAGAGGGCAACGCTGGGCAGGAGGGGGGGTCCCGCAGGGAGCAGACTGGAGGGACAGCCCTGGGGAGCCGGCGGAAGGTGCAGGACAGAGCCAGGGATCCGGGCTGGCGTAGCAGAAAGGCTGAGCCAAGGCAAAAGCCAAGAAGGAGGAGTGCTCAGGGTGCTCCAGCCTACCCTGGGCCTGACCCCTCCTCTCCTGTGCACGAGGCCCATCCCGAACCCCAACTTGCCCCCACAAAGGGATCCACGTACCCCGACCACCATGTGACCCTCCATCCAGTGAGTTTGGGCACCGGTGGGCCAGGGATGGCATACAGGGCTCAACCCTCTGTCTGTCAGTGAGTTGTGTTCCAGGATGGACTTTCGCCCTGGTTTCAAAACGGAGATGCGAAGCACGGGCATGGGACAACCCCACACACCTCCCCACTCGGGAAGCCCACGCATCCTTTTGGAGACTCCAAACCGCGGAGGAGCCAGAAGCTCCCTAAGCAGCTCCAGCGCTCTCCCAGCCCCAGCGCTCTCCCAGCCCTCGCTTCTCTCACGCCTGACCCCCTAAGATTATCCAGTTTCCGGTTTAGAACCGAAAAAGAGAAACTCTGGGGCTCCAGGATGCCGGTAGCAGGCGGCCGGGTGAGGGAGCCGAGCTCTGCCTGCTCCGGCGGCATTACCGAGCTGCTCGTCCCGTTCCTGCGCAGCGCTAACACCGGCGTCTCCTCCCAAGGCTGAGCCCTCCGGGCGCTCTCCGCTCCCAGCTCCCCGAGGGACGGGCGGGCGGCGCGACAGCGGCGGGACACGGAGCGGGACGGGGGAGCGGCAACAGGCGGAGCGGGGCAGCTGGAGGAGCGGGGCAACAGGCGGAACGGGGCAACAGGCGGAACGGGGCAACAGGCGGAACGGGGCAACCAGCCGAGCGGGGACGGGACCGGAGCAACAGGAGGAACGGGAGGCGGAGCGACCGGCGGGGCCGAGAGCGGACCTGGAGCGGGCCGGCAGCGGCGCGGGGCTGCGGGGACTACACGGACTACGCGTCCCGGCAGGCAACGGAGCGGAGCGGAAGGGGAAGGGCCGGGGCCGGAGCGGATGAATGGGATTGGGCCGGGTCTGGGGCCGGAGCGGATGAATGGGACTGGGCCGGGTCTGGAGCCGGAGCGGATGAATGGGACTGGGCCGGGTCTGGAGCCGGGGTCGGTGAATGGGATTGGGCCGGGTCTGGGGCCGGGGTCGGTGAATGGGCCGGTGGGTGTAACGGGGGGCGCTGGGGGTGCACGAGGAGCACTGGGGTACGCGTATCTCGCAGAACGGGGGAAAGCAGCTGGTGTTAAAATACGTCCTCTCTGTCCCCTGTGTTTGGAACCGGGTGTGTGTACCGAACAGCCGAGGCACTACGAGCAGGGCTTCGAGGGGTGGTGCTGACTGGTGGGACAGACCAGCCTTCTGCCACCTGCTGCTGGCGTGGGCGAGAATGCGACCCCATAAAACGTGTCCCTGAACCCAGCGATGCTGCCGGGAATTGCGGGGAAGCGTCTTCCATGGGGTTGGTCGACCTTTCACAAGCAAACCCTGCACCAGTGATTCAAATCAGAGCAAAATACAGCTGGATGTGGCATCCTGGTGCCGGGAGAGGGGGTCCCGTTACCCAGCCATGGGGTTTCATGGGACAGAGCAGCTTTCATAGTCCTAGTTGTTGAAGAAAACCCCAAGAAATAAAATATGAACTTCAGAAGCACTTGAGCCAACCCATGAACAAATAATTTTAATATTTATTTAGCAGACTGTAGTTTTTTCGGAGCTCTACAGTCTCCTCTCTTTGAAGTTGGACAGATACAGTAAACACAACAAATATATGATACAACCCATCACAGCTGGATTAAAAAAAATACACAAAAAATATAATACATAAAAAATTGGATTTTTAACATTGTGGACTGACACAGCTCTAAAAATGGTGATTGTAACCCTGGTAAGCTTTACAAAGTCTTTAAAAAAATAAAACAGTACTTCATGTGAAATTCATAAATACACTGGAGGAGAACAGAGGGGCCGGGGGCAGGGGAGTTGAGAAAGTGTCTCTGGGATCCTGGCTAAACCCCGGCCAGGGCTGCTGGGGGCACCAGTCAGCGTGTGCCTGGGGTGTGGGTGCACGCCCTGGGGCTCAGTGCAGGCTGGATGGAGGGATGCAGGGATGGAGGGAGGGTGGAGGCACAAACCAGTCCAGTTAATGAAGAGCTTTGTCCCTAGTTGGGGCTGGGAGTGGGGCACACCTGTGTTTTATGGTGGGGGAGTTTTGAGTTTTCATTCCCAGAGTTTCAGATCAGTGAGTGAAACGGAAGAAGAAAAAAAAAAAACAACACAACAACAAACAAACATGCTACATATGAGAACTCAGCCAGGCAGCCCTGGCACAGCACTGGGGTAGGATGCCAGTGCCTTGCCTTGGATTTTTCCCTCTCTCTTTCCACCCTGCTCCATCTTGCCCTGTTCACTGCAGCTGCCTAAGTCCAGTCCCACCAAAGAGCCCTCAACTGGGTGTGGGGCCAGGATGGCTCTGCCCTGTCCCACAGGGATGGGTGTCTTCTCCCAGCAGCAGGAGGTCGAAGTCTCCATGCCTCACCAGACACAAGGCATCAGAGTGGCAGCCAAGGCACTTTCCTGGGCTCTGAGGCTGTTCCTGCTCCTTTGCACCTGGCAGCATTGAGCCTAAACCTGCCCCATCTCCCCATCCTGGGCTTTAGCCCCCCTCAAACCACTCCTGCCTCCCCTGCAGCACTGGTCTCTGCATTTCCTACCACCTTCACTCCCCTGCCAACACGAGAAACCCATCCAGACCTGGCCACCTCGGGCTCCCTGTCCCCCTGCCAGCCTCCTGCCACCTTGCTCCATGCCACTTTGTCTCTCTGTGCCCCTCCTGCACCTTGGGGATGCTCTTCCCAGCCTCTGTCCTTGCAGTCGCAGCCTCAGCACTGGGCATGCTGCATTGGCTTACTTTGGGCTGCAGCCACAAAATTACCTCCAAGCAGACCCAGTCCCTTATCCTGGCATCCTTCCTGTTCTCTGTCCCCTCTCTGTCTCCGTCCTCTCTGTCCTAAACTCTGCCCACTGACAGCCTGTGTTGCTCAATATGCTTTTCCCTGCACGAGCCACTTCTCAGGCCACTTCCCACAGGATGCAGGCAAGTGGACAGAGCAATCCAGAACAGTCAACACAGAAAAAAGGCAAAAAATGTGAAGAAAAAAGAACCGAAACAAAGAAAATGTATATATGCAAAGTAAGTCAGGCAAATCTAACCTCACTGCTCTCTACTCATGACTCCTCAGCAAGTGACCACAGCAGGGACATTGAGCCTGGGCCACCCCCAAGCGCTATCCTTGAAAGCCCACACAGAGCTCAGGGGATCCCCCACAAAAACCAGCCAGAGATGAAAACATCCTGAGCCTTCCCTACACAAGCCACTCCCCGTGCCTGGTAGTTCCGCTGTTGCCTCCAACCCAGTAAACTCTGCTCTCCCCTCTGCTGGTCACCAGCATGGCACGGGGCAAAGGCCCAGGCACTGCAGAGGGTCATCATCTCGATTACGAGCACGGTGTCCTTTTAAAAAGTTTTAAAAAAGAATTTTAACAAAAAAAAAAGGAAAAGAAAAAAAGAAAGAGCCATAAAAAAACATGGTTTGCATTGTTGATGCCCTCATGCCTTCACTGGCACTGGTTCCCAGTGCCCCAGCTGCACACAGAGAATCCTCCCGGCTGCCAGCCCCAGGGAGGCAGCAATGTCCCCCTCCTCCACTCTGCTCTGCCCTGCTCCTGCCTTGCACATCTGTCCCCAGGTCCCCACTGCCACCTGGGCTCTGCCAAGCTGTGCCAATGACACTGCTGCTGCCATGCCAATCAGTTTTGGACCAGACCTGGTGCAATGCCCCTCCTCCAGCCCATCTGTGTTCACTCCTCTCCACTCAGGACCAGGACCACTTCTGAGTGAGGGTGGGGGTGAAAGAAAGGGTTGTTCTCTGCTCCGACATCCCGCTGGTGACAGCACGGTGGGATCCTGGCCTTTATCAGCAACACCGAGGACCGGTCTCTCCTCATCCAGCACCGGATGTGGGTTTCCTTTCTCCCTATGTTTCTTTTCCCATTCTTTGTTTTTTTGGTTTTTTTTTCATTTATTAAAAAAAAAAAACAAAAACTGTTCCTAAGTAGAAAACATCTGCAATCACAAGTCAGTCTTTTTTGGCTATTGTTGTTCTTCCTCCTCCTCCTCTCTTCAAATGACTTCTCACAAGGCAACAGGCACGGGCGGCTACTCTGCGTGGCCCCCTCCCTCCCCTGCACGCCCTTTGTGCCCCTGCCTGTCCCCGAGTGCCCCTAGTCCTTGACCAACTTGTACACATGGTGCTGGGCGCCGTGCTCACTGGTGGAGACCTCGAAAACAAAGGCAATGCAGAGCAAGGTTTCCTGGGTATCCCTGTTCGTAACAACCTGTAGCAGAGCAGAGCGTGTTAGGGGAGTGCTGTGGGCAGATGCAGTTATTCAGGGGGTTGCACGGGCTCATGCGCATGGGCACAGCCACTTTGCATCATGAAAAATTTGTTACCCATTATTTGTAGGGTTGCACAGGCACTGGCAGAGTCAATTTAATTGCACCGTCAATATTTACTGTCCAATTTGGGGGGGGGGGGGAGGGGACAGGCTGAGGAACAGCCTGAATTGCACCACCAAAAATTTGCTACCTGTTGTTTGGGGGAGTGTTGCATGGGCTCAGGCATAGCCACTGCATTTCCACCATAAAAAATTGCTACCCTTTATTTGGGGAAGGCAAACAGGCTCAGGCACAGCCTATTTAACTGCACCATGAAAAATTTGCTTCCCATTATCTGGGAGACTCGTCCAGGCTCAGGCATAGCCACTTTGTTTGCACCATCAAGATCTGCCCCCTGGAATTCAGGGGCTGTGTGGGCTCAGGCACAGCCAGGAGTATCTGAGCTGCTGGAGCGCATGCCCAGGGCCGGCAGGGCCAATGCAAGTGCGGGCTCCACACTGCCGGTGGGAAACATTCCCTGGAAAAGGAGTGGAGGTACCTGCAGGATGGTGAAATTCTCCAGGACACTGTTCATCATGTACTTCTCTGGGAGGTGCTTGAGTTTGTGGATGAAGTTGATCATGTACTCGCACATGGGAGACCGGTGGATGCGGTAGATGAACCGTCCGTTCTCCAGACGTGCATACTCTGTCTGCAGAGGACAGACAGGGTGAGCAGCTGTCGCATGGGATGTAGGCATGGGCAAGTGGTGGCCAGCTGGGACACCCGCCCATGGACAGGTATGAAGCCACATGTCCTACACCCAGCTCTGGGGCTTTGTCCATCCCAGGACCCACCGTGGACCAATTCCTACCCCTTCCCGATGCAGCAGGCCATGGAACTCACCTCCACTTTTTCCACGACCTGCTTCCCAAAAGAGCACACCTTGGTGGATACTGTGATGGTCATGTTCTCTGCACTGCTGTACTGGCTGCTGACACCGTAGAAGGTCCCCGGCCCGTCCTGGATCGTGCTGTTCAGATCAGCCTGGAGAGATGAGGGGAGAGAGGGTCCCGTTAGGCACCACCACACCCAGCTCTCGATGGGGACAGGAGACACGAGCTTTCATGCTGGCAGGGGGCCCAACCTGCAATGAGCCCATGGCTCAAGGACGACCCTT